TTTTTATCCAAACAATCAATGGTTTATAAAGGAAAATCAGGAATATTAACAAGGCTGCCCAAACTTTTTCATATGACTGTAGTTTTAGTCATTCATAAAAGTGTATTTAAATGTGGACTAGAACTACTACAGTGGCAGTATAGATAAAAGTATACTTGTGGTCAACTTTAAATAAAATTTAATAAGCTAAAATGTGAACCACAAGTATATAGTATATAGATGAGTGTACTTGAATGTATAATTTGATCAATTTAAAAAGACTTTATAACAGTATACTTTTTATAAACTAATATATGTGTCAATTTAGTCTGAATAATTAATAAATCAGTATTATTTCTAATAACCTAAAGTACCTGGTGTGTAGTGTACTTGATATACTTAAAATTATACTCAAGTATACTTATTACAATGAATTTCAAAAACACTACTTATTGCTAAGACTGGATCCAAATAGAAACCTTTCTGATTCAGACTCTGAAACATTTAAATTATTTTGTTTGTCGTTGTTTACAGAAGATAAAATGTCGGTAATTCTGAGGGTTTTTAAGCTAACACACAACTATTTTCATTTCTCAGGTCTTGTGTACAGTCCAACTTCATTTATCTTGTCTAGTCCTGCAAACTGTACGAACTTTACCTGCGATGCTACTTCAACCCTCCAGACAACCAGCTGTGRACCCACCGAGACTTGTATCGGCAACAACCAGTAAATATGTCTCTTTACATTTAAAACTGTGATCAAACAGAGACTAGATGATTGTTAGATTTTCTGTTTCACTGGAGGGAGCTGCAGTCTGTTTTATAAAAAGCTTTTATTTTGAAGGAGCAGGAAGTGTTGTGTCTGTGAGCTGACCTGACCAGTAGAGTGCCCCCTGCTGGCTGCAGGCCTCAGCAGCAGCTCTTGATGTTCCTGTCTCCATCAGGTGTATCACCACCACCCCTACTGTCCCCACCACTACTGTCCCCACCACCACCACCACCACCACCGTCCCACCCATGGTGAACGCCATCTGCACCGTGACGGGCCCCACTGTCATAGACTTCAACAACAACCTGGACTCCGTGAAGGACCGGTGTGCGTACTCCGTGCTGGAGATCTCATCACTCCCAGGATTCCAGGTGGTGGGCGGCTTCCTGGAGCGTCGTCTGACAGATGTGAGCTTCCTGGACAGCWTGTGGCTGAAAGTGAACGGCTATGTCTTCCAACTGAAACAAGGAGGCAGAGTTGTGGTGAGTCAGTGTGAAGTTTGATCCAGATCCAGCCTGTTTGTACGTTTGACACGTTTCACTCAGTTTGTCTCGCTTAATGCAGCTGAACAACATAACACTGACCCTCAGCAGCTCACCTTCGACGTTTAGAGGTCTGAAGCTCTCTAAGGACCAAAATGGAATCACTGCTGTGGTGTCCCTCCCCAACTTCATCATCACTGTCTTGTTTGATGGCTACACCTCAAACATCCTTGTTGAAGGTAGAGAGAATCCAATAAGTTAGTTWGATGGTGAAGATGAACTTTTCTGTGTTCATCCAGTTTGAACATTGATGCTGATGAGACTCTCATTCTGTCCTGAACCGGTCCAGGATCTGCCGGATCAACTTTCCAGGGTCTGTGTGCAAACTCCAGCAGTAAACCAAGGGTCTCTGAGTACAGCCTTTTGGGGTGAGACCTCCTCACTGATTAACTCTGTGTTTGGATGAAGCAGAGTCTAACCTTGTTGTGTGTCGCCCCCTAGCTGTCAGACGCAGTATCCCAACACTGATGACAGTTGGATCAACCTCATCAACAAGACAGACAGGTGAGCAGATTCATCCACAACATGTTTCTGATTCACTCTGATCTCTGTGGTAAATTACACACTTGACATGTTTAATGTGACATCAGCTCTGAAGGGAGATAAATCCATTTMCTGTTGGAGTCTGCCATGGAGGCACCTATCCAGCTCTAAAAGGATCTCTATCTTTTTATTCTTCTTCAACTTTGATGCAGCCCAAACAGCAAAGTGAACCCACACAGATGTTAGGTACAACTGACCATCTCTGTCCCGAGATTTATTCTATTACTTTTAATGGCATTTTAATTTACCATCCATCCATCCATCCATCCATCCATCCATCCATCCATCACTAAACATACAAAGCTGAAAATAAGCATAGTAGCTGAGAACAACTAATTCTGAATGCTAAACAACCAGTCAAGGTGTCTGCTGGAGCCATTTTCAGAACGCTATAGGTTGGCCATTCTAAGACATATTGGGCTAAAATAAGTGGCGGATGCTGATCTTTCAAGAAAGGGAAGCTCAATTTCGGCCTTCATCATAAAATGTGTCAGTTTGTTCATACATAAATTCTACTCTCTGTTCCTTTTCAAGAAAACGATCTGTGACCCTGTCACAGATCATTTTACAACACTTCAAGTCAGTCAGCTCACTGTTGTCATACCAGGACAGCTGAAAAGACCTGTCACTTCCCTCACCCTTTGCACCAAATTACTCTGAGGAGTTGATCAGCCCTGCTGTTTAACTCTGTTTTTCTTCATAAGGAAGACTATCAAATGGCTTTGCCAAAATCTGGTCCACAACATTCAAACCGTCTGYCATTATGTGCAGCTTGTTACTGGCGCCAGGCTAGTGTGAAGTGTGTCCGTCTGTGAGTGCTGTGTGACGGTGAAGGGACTCAGCAGCACCCGCTGGACAGAAACTGTGAAAGAAGTCAGAAAGAGTAAATGGTAAATGGACTGTACTATCAGTGCCAATCACATTCATACACTGATGGGACACACATCAGAGGCATTAGGGGTGAAKTGTCTTGCCCAAGGACACARCAAGTGAGACAGCTGGACGGGGGATCGAACCGATGACCTTCCGGTTCCAGGACGACTCTCATAACCACKTTTCCACAACCGCCTCAAAGAGTGATAGAAGTCAGTCTCCAAACACAAGCAGCTACAAAACAACCACCAGAAATAGAAGCTTGATTTGTCACTAGTCRTTTTTAACAAAGAAAATTCTGCTAAAAGGATTAATAAAGTCTCCAGTTCAACTCAGAACAGAATGTAACTAAAAATGCTCCCATGGATGTTTACACCAAAAGATCGCTGATTCACTCATTTCTCTGTCAATCAAAAAGAGACTCAGCCTCCGACAGATCATCCAATCACGCAGAAGCTGAGCGCCGGGCCAGCCCACTTCCCCATAGACCCCCAGAGACGCTGAGCRTCCGGCGGGCGGGACAAAGCCCAGCATTTATCCAATGACTCGTCTCGTTTCGCTGCAGTCGTTCCTTCACTGTTGAACAGTGTGGACGCTCAGTGTCCACACTGTTTAAAGCTCTGTGAAGCTGCGGGAATGAGGGAGAGGAAAGCCGCGTCGTTACCAGTGATAAGAAGCTGATTCTGAACAAAAGTTGAGCACATCGTAGTGCATATTTAGTCAATGACATGAACACACAACAGTATATATTTGATCACTTATTTTTGAAAGTTTAGGGGAAGCTGAGCTTCCCTTGCAGTCTTAGAGCAATCGCCTCTGGTTGAAATATTGTATAGTGGTAGATGAAAATAATCCCCATCACATACTGAATCCAAATCAAAAACCCAAGATGGCAGCCATAGATAAATTATATAACTGACCATAACTCTGTCATTTTTAGCTACGTTGAGCTGAAATTTGGAAAAGCTGTGGCACGAGAAATCCTCAAGTCTGTATTGAAAGAATCAGACTCAAACAGGCAAATCCTTCCAGTATATGTGCAGGAACATTTCTAGTTGATCATTTCTTATCTGTCATGTCTGTTTCCTCATAAGGAGCAGCTGTCACCTCCTGGAGGCAGCGCCCTTCACCTCCTGTGGCATCGACCCAGAGCCCTACGTGGACGCCTGCACGGACACTTTGTCCATMTATCCTGCAGTGGACGGCCTCAGGTGTCAGTTCCTGGAGGCCTACGCCAAAGCCTGCAGCCTGAAGCTCAAAAACACACTGGATGGCTGGAGGTTGAAGACTAACTGCCGTAAAACCTGCTGTGATCCAACATCTGCTCTAAATATCACTTSTTGGTTTTTATAGAATAATAAATGAGTGATTGTCTCTGCAGTCCTTCCTCAGGCCTTCTGTCAGGACAGAACCTGCAGCGACAACGAGTTCTGTGGAGAGACGTCTATTGGTGGAGCGACTCGTTGCTTCTGTCGGCCAATTTTTGCTTCCAGCTACAGACAGATAAACGCTTTGGGTATGATTGAGAGCAACATGACATCAGGGCTGAACAGCTGGAGGAAAACCTCTGTTTTTCCTCTCCAACATTCAGGTGATCCGACGGTCTGCATTCAGGAYACTGCTTCTATCACTCTGGTCAACTGTCTTCTGGAAGACAAAGGCATTGACTACTCTGTCTTACACCTCAATGACCCCACCTGCAGAGGACAGATGGATGAGGACACCCACCTGGTGACTTTTGGCTTCAACAGCACCAACTGTGGGACAGTAGTCACAGTGAGTTCTGTCCTCTGGCTCTCTGCTCAGATCTGTAGTCGTTTCCATCAAGGTTTTTTGATGTGCATTTTGARTATTGCATTAGAAAAGGTGGATGGACACATTTCGAAAAAACTTCCTCTAATTTGCAAAAAAATTGATACGCTCGCTTGAGTTGGTTTTTGGTTGTTTTTTTTTTGAAAAAGAGTTGATGTCCAAAAGGAGGGATGGAAACACATTTACTGAATAAGTTCTAACGTAGAGAACATTTACCTCACATGGTTGATCAGACGCTGTTCCTGCTTTCTTCCGGTACCGGTACCAGAGCGACTGCAGCTGGTCCCTCCTCCCGCTGTTGGCGTGTTCTCAGTTATCTCCGTAACATGACAGCAGTAACATCACCAGAACTAATTGATAACAGAATAATTACAACTTTCCTGATAGGAGCAACACGTTCCTGATAACTTCTCTCMATTGCTCTGGGATGTGTAGTCCCTGTGAATTTGCAACTTTTACTTTCTGTTTACTAAACACATGCATCTAACRTAATTACACTATGTAGYCTGCTTGATTCACTTCAAGTCAGTTGATGGAAACATATCTGATTCGCATTTCTTCTCTTTTCCTTTTTGCAWATTTTTAAAAATTTKCTCAAAATTCAAATAAAACTTGAATGGAAACACAGCTTGTGAATGCGGACTCCTTTATTGATATCTTTGTGTTTTATTCAGAMCAACAGCAGCCAGATCATCTACAGTAACGCCATCGTGAGCCTGAACAGGTCTTCTGACATCATCAGTCGCCAAAGCCAGGTCCACATCAAGTTGTCCTGCTTCCAAATTCAGCCAGACATCAAGAGTGTGATGTTCAAGATCGAAGACAGGTGTGTGCTGTCTACCAGTATTTTAACATTTTCACAATGGGAAACTTGTTTTGAGTAACAAAAGAGAAATAAAGCCCCATTGACCACTGGCAAGATGTTTCCAGACCATCTGAGAGACAGCCTTTCCAGAGAGTCCTGGGTCASACACTCTGGAGAGACTATGTCTCTTGACTAACCTGGGAACACCTTGAAGAGGCGACTGTAGTTTTGATGAAGTGATGTGGAGAAAAATAAAAGATAAGAGAGACAAAAAGAAAAATCTTAACTGTCCAAAGCAGAGAATCTGGACTAGAAACCAAACTCTTACGTAAACATGGATTAGAGCAAAGAGAACAAAAAAAAAAAAAAAAGTTTAAAGATCAAGGAGAAAAAGCTTAGATGATGACAGTACCCACTCTATAAAGGAACACTCCCAGAAAAACACAAACAGGTTGCTGGTTAAAATCCTGCTGGAGGAACCAGGCAGAACCACAAAGAAGAGAGCAACAGACCAACAAGCAGATCTTTGAAAAACCACAGACCAGGAGAAGACCACTGAAGTTTTGACTCTGTTGGTTGTTGAAGTTTTTGTGTTTTTTGTACAAAATGTCCCCATAAAGACTAAAACCAACAATATGTGTCCTCTTTAGCTCTGTGGTCCAGGCCRTCTCAGTTGGACATTGGAACTACACTCTGACCATGAAGGCCTACACTGACGCCGGCCTCACACAAGCTGTGRATCAGAGCACCGATGTGTTTCTGAACCAGCCAATCTGGGTGCAGCTGGAYRCCACAGGTCTGGATGCAAACCAGCTGGCTTTGGTGACTGACTCCTGCTGGGCAACCGACCAACCATCRGCCACAGCAAGTCTGAGATACGACCTGATAGAGGACAGGTGAGACTCTAGAAGAGATCCATTCATCAGTGAGCTTCATGAACCTCTGATCTGATGACYGAACCAAGTGTTTCCTGTTTCTGWGCAGCTGTCCCAACCCTGATGACTCCACGGTGGTGGTRCAGAAAAACGGAGTGGGAACCTCCAACCTGTTCTCCTTCAACATGTTTGTGTTCTCTGAAGATCCTAGTAAGGTCTTCCTGCACTGCAGTGTGCATGCGTGTATCAGACAGAACGGCTGCATCCCGGTACGCCTCACTGACAAACACCACAAGATATTCCTCTGAACCCCACTGACTGATGACAGAAGTGTTGGTCCTCTAAAGTCTGGACTTCACCTGTCTGTCTTTACCTTCCAGGTGTGTAACGGAGCTCGGAGACGCAGATCCTTCAGGTCCAAACTGGAATCTTCTGCCTTCATCGGCATGAGCTGGGCTTATTAGGTAAGACAGAGCTCATGGTTTGAATACTTTACTCATTTTATATCAAAAGCAAAGTTTATAATCAGTCGGCCTGTGTATTATCTAACGAGGCCATATTTTAACCAACTCTTTTGTCTTCCTTTGTCACTTCACCAGAAAACAAAGCTAAATATTATTAGTTTATTTATTTCTTCATCATCAGTGACTTTTTTAGAG